AAAAATGGTGCTCCAGGCAATCTCAGCTAGTTCTAGTCTCCTATAGGCACTAATCCCAGCAGCCCAGGTGCCATCAAGTGCACCAGCACATCTCTGTTGCACTAACAGAGCTCTCATTTTCTAGTGCCAGAGACTAAAGTCTCCGGTGCCATTCCAAATTTCAACATCAAATTTTTTAGCAGAAGACATATTGACAGATTATTTACACAACTATAACAATGCAGCACACAGAGTATTGTAATACAAGTTTTGAATACAATGATCAATAACTAATAACAGGATTAATGCGCACTTATTTAACAGCCTAAGGAGTGGTAATCCTGGTTTCCATTACCCCCTCAGAATCCCAGATCCTCGCAGGAGATCTTGGACAAAGGTGAGTAGAGGCAGATTACTTACCTTAATGACTGGGTCCAAGAAATTATTTAATATACTGACTAACGAAATAAGTTTTAGGTTTAGAGGTTACCACAGATTGAAATATTAATTTCAGAATAAAAGATTAACCAGTAAGTAGTAAGAAATTGAACCAGAACTCCAAGTCAGACACAAAAACCCTTCGAGTTGCAGTGACTCAATATGAACTCAGTGTAACTCAGGTTGAGTCAACTAAGCTCACCCGACTCAGTATGAGCAGCACCGATTTTCCAAGAACAGAGTACATAAACAACAGATCAAAGCGAGTTAACGTCGAGTTATATCATATATATCAAGATTATTCAAAAGGTTAACAAAACAGTAACTAGATCTTGCAAGATCTTCAAGAAGATTTCAGATCTGACCAGTCAGTTACCAATCAAAAGTAAATCAAGAAAGACAGAAAAATTCCAGAAAGTTTTCTTTACAAAAAAAAAAGGAGAACACTTCAGATCTTGCAAGTTCAAAACGAGAATTTTTTTTTTACAAAACGCAAAAAATTTAAAAAATCGCTCTGATACCACTTGTTGGTCCCAGAGTTGATATAATCTTGAATTTAAAGGTTTATTCTCAAATCAAAAATTATTTCAGAATAAAAATAGCGTAAACAAAAAATAGGAATACAAGATATGTTTTGCTCCAAAATGGAGCCCGGATGTTCAGTCCAAGGACCTAATCACTCGTTGAGCCTCAATCAAGA